TTGTTCATGCGAACAAATATATACTGCTCGAAAATCAAGTATTAATGTGTATATTCATCATTCAGACCGTAGTGGAAGAACATTAAAAAAGATTGCGTTATCACATGCACAATTAAATTCAGTGTGTTTCAGACAATCTTGGACAAAACCCTTGGGACAATTCCAGTTAATATTACAAAGTTATTGAACATTGACAAACAAACTTTGTCTCCCCCTCCCAGTTCAATGTTGTGAACAACGCCGAAACAACTTTTGGTAATATGCCATGACACAATCTCAACATTGAGTTGGGGGTGCGGGGACTTAAGAAGGGCAACATGACTCAACATGGGGTTTGTTCCAAACACCAACTCTAGCCCTAATCCTAACCCTAACCCTAACCTAACACTACTCCAAGTTTGTTTCTAAACAAATCATGAAGAAAAAAGTTTTGATGAAATGTCATTCTGAGATCAGCGAAATAGTATATACCCTCTCGAATGGTTAGCACTATTTTCCATCCAGCAAAGTCGTTTCTTTTTGGCAAATCTAAAGTCGTTTCTTTTTGGATTTTTTTATTAATTCGGTTAGGGTTAGGAGTTAGAATATGGGTAGGGTTTGGGTTAGTGACATGATAGCCATTTAAAACCTCTTCCTTCTTCCAAAAATGACGTCAATCAGTTTGCTGGATGGAATATAGGCTAACCCTCTCAAATCACAAAACCTTTAAAAACTTGAAATCCAGGGTCGTAGCTAGACACGATAATTGTGGGGGGCGGGGGTATATTCATATATTCATGTTTACATACCGTAAAAACAATCGATTTCAAAAGAAATCCATCGGGCAGAACACTAATATATGAATATACACCCCCCCCCCAATTATCGTTCTAGCTACGGCCCTGCTGAAAACCTCTGGCACGCAGGGTACTCCCACCCGAGATCATATTAACAGCACCTAAGGCGCGCAATGGGAAAGATTTGGAGAAAATTCCCGGAATACGCGCTTCAATTAGCCTTTTCTCACGCCGTCATTTTTGGGTGGCTTTTCAGCCAAATTAAGTCTGCGAGATAAGTCCACATAACAGCGAATTTTTATAATTTTTTGACAAATGATGGTAAATTTGCTTTGTAAATGGTTAGTTTATTTTGAAAAATTGCTTTTCACATTCGGTTTTAATAGTCAGCATTAGTTAACGACAATTAGATGGCGGATATTCGTCATCATGAGGAAGGCTTATTACGCGTTTCCGAAAAGTACATCATCTAGGTATAGAACCTCGTTTTCGTAATGGAGACGTTGGCTAATGTCACAAACACGAAAACGAGGCTGCATAGCCAAAGTACAAATTTAGTAGTTACGGAAACAACTCTCAAAAAAATCACTATAAACGAAAGGTCACGGAAAGTTCCAGTTACACGAATCGATAACGGATTCGCTCGGAGCGACATCAAATTTTACAGTTTCAAGGGGAGTTTAGCACTCAAAATTATGATAAGATAACAGAATTAGTCAAAAACTTCAAATATGAAAAGTTGTGAGAGGCCTAAAAGCGTCTTAGTTGATTTCGCTCCACTCGCTCCGATGCGAATCCGATATCGTGTAACTGGGACCTAAGGGTCATTTCCTGGGCTGAAGTTACATTTCGCTACTTTAATCAGGCCATAGTCCATATTTACCTGTCCCTACCTTTCCAAAGAAAAAACAAGCCTATACTGACTGATGTAACATGTAAGATTATACTGACTACAACCTATAATCACTTGTTTATAAGAGGAAGTAAGGAAACCATGCAATCAATGGGGGGGAAATTAAAACACCAGCCTTCTATAAACCGAACGAATCTATACATATGCAAAGAATCTTTATTTGTAAGGAAAGAGAATCACAGTGCTTATAACTGACCGAATATTCAACAAAACCTTTTAATTTCCAAACAAAATATAAATCCTTAAATTTATACAGAGGAGTAACTTTGTGCTATCGGCCACGCCCATACCTATCCCGCAAATACAGTCTTGAACTGAAAAGGCGAATCAATTGTCTTTTTCTCTTTCTAGAGATTGTTTTTGGCCGTATTAGTCTAGTGTGACGTATTGATGGTCTAAATCATTAGTCAGAAACACATTTAATCTTTCTTAATACTTAATTCTTCAATAAATAGATATAATTGATTCTCATGGCTGAATACATGCAACAACATTAATTATATGCATATATTAATAATATGTACACATTTACGGTATAATAAATATTTAAATAGCATGCAGTACGTTCTGTCTATTTTATATAAATGTCTAATTTACACTGGCTAGACATTTCTTGCCCAATAGCTTATAAAGTTGTTATGCTTTCACGTTACATCACTTTCGTTGTCTTTGCTTGCGGAAGCAGCAAGTGAACAGTGCAAGAATTCGTCTACAAATCGATCGCTTTTTCATTTTCTTGCTTCCCGACATGTTGCTTTCTGTTTCACTACAACCTAAGATAAAGAATTGAAAACAATCGTAAAGTCGATCATTCAAATTCATGCAATATTTTGTTTTGACAACTAGACAATGCTTGACGTTTTTCACAAATGACAGCGTATTGGGATTTGGTTAATTTACAACACAACACAACACAACACAACACAACACAACACACCTATAAACGTCAACATAATGCATTACCAACACGAACCCATCCCACCGGATTGTTCCAAGTCCATGACTAAGCATGTTAACCATTCAGCTTCGTGCGGATCAAACAAGGATTGCGGTTAATGAGAGTTGGCAATCACGCTTTCTTACGAGGGGCATTCCTAGCTCTAGATTAATTAACAAAATAAAGTTTTCTTTGGTGTTCCAACTATGTTTTAACTTATGTGGAATAATACATGATAGTGTTGGGAAATCATTAAAAGCAGCTAACCAAGGTCAGGTGACTGCGTAACTCTCATCCTCGTTTGATCTCGGCCTAACATGCACAGTTCTACCGACTTGGAACAATCTTTTAGATATGAACGTGAAACAAAGTGGGCAAAACTTGCAAACCAGCTCCATTCGCATCATATTTCAGGTCTAAGCAGGGTTTGACAGGATCTAGCCAGACGCTCTTTTTTGAAATAACCAGACTATACTAACTGGATATACAAATAGGCACCTGGCTAGAATTTTCACCAAGCATAGTTTGGCTGACAAGGATTTCGTCTTTATATCAGCCCAACTCCTGGTTCGACCTGTTCAAATATACTGCGTTTCTGTCTAAATTCAAAGAATACTACATACCTGACTTGAAAGCAGAAGTCTCCTGAATATCAGATGTTTTAAAGGGTTCATCAACATCAGTGACTTCAACTATCTCGCTGCGGCTTGAATCTGGTAACTCATGACTAATTTGTTCAGAATGATTTAAGATCGCCAAACTATCTTCATCTGTACTGTGTGGTCTTGCTTGAGGTGGTACAGTCACTATTGACAACGGTAATGTTTCTCTTGGTACCCTGTTTATCTTGATACCATAATTTATCGCAGTTGTTGAAGCATTCTCTGGTAATAACGTTGAGAATACTGCAGGAAAACGTGATGATGATTGTGGTAGAGCTCTTACTAGAGGTAAATCCATTATTGGTGGCAACTCTCGACGCATCGACTGTTGCAGTGACGAAAGTGCAGAAACCAAAGATGTGTGTTGTGGCATATTTATCAACAAACAGTTTGAAGCATCCTCTGGTAATAACGTTGAGAATACTACAGGAAAACGTGATGATGATTGTCGTAGAGCTCTTACTAGAGGTAAATCCATTATTGATGGCAACTCTCGACGCATCAGTTGTTGCAGTGACGAAAGTGCAGAAACCAAAGATGTATGTAGTGGCATACTTGTCAACAAACAGTTTGAAGCATCCTCTGGTAAAAATGCAGGAAACAGTGGTGGTTTGCGTGAGGCTGGCAGTGTACGTACACTGACTGACAGTGAGTTCCATCTCGCTGCGGATGATTTAATCAATACCATTAGAGTCCCAGGTCCATGCTCTAAGGGCATCAGCTCTGCTAGTGCATGTGGTTCTTGTATCTTTGATGCTGTTGATGTTGACATCATTTGTTGGCGATTAGTTGTGAAAGCACAAGGAAAATCCAGACGACGCATCAATTGTTGCAGTGACAAGAATGCAGAAAGCAGAGATGATGCTTGTCGCATGTTTATTAACAAACAGTTTGATAATGGTTTTGATGAGGGTGGCAGTGTCCAACTCGTTGCGGATGGTTGTTTCACCACCAGTAGAGTCCCAGGTCCTTGCTCTAAGGGTATCAGCTCTTCTAGTGCACATGATTGCTGTATATTTGATGCTGTTGATGTTAACATCATTCGTTGGCGAGTAGTTGTGAAAGCACAAGGAAGATCCAGACTTCTTGCCGTGGAGATAGAAAAATTCAGACTACTTGCCGTGGAAAGAGAGAAATTCAGACTTACACGTGGAGCCCCGGTCTCGCTCGACACATGTAAGGAATACTTCCCTTCATTTCCACGACTCATAGTCTGAATACATTCGTGGATTCCACAACTAAGGACTCTTTTTACTGTCGGCTTAAATGGCAGAAGTTCTTGTGTTTCCAATAATGAAACATTCTCGATTCGTAGTATTTCCCGCATTGGAGCAATTTGAACAAGTTTAACTTTGAGGAATGATACCACTGGGAATGAGGTGGTTTTTGCCGTTAGGATTTTCTGTACTGGAGACTGCTTGGGAATCAACTTCAGTGGATTTTTTTTAAAGTCAACATTCTTATTTCTTTCACCTACGTAACGTAAAGCAATAAACAGCCTTTAGAATCAACTCTGAAAACTTCATCACTAATTGAGAAGATCAAGGTATCAACGAAATATATCAGTTTGGTTATAACTAATCTTCTACTGTTCAGGACCTTTGGAATTTAAATAAATACATGTTATTTACGGGTGGAGGGGGGAAAAGTGTGGAAGGGCATGGAAAAGCGAGGTAAAATTAAAGTTACCAAACTTACATACATTGTGTTGAGAATTAACTTGAGATCAGTGACGGTGTGTGCCGTTGTGTAATCGAAATGAGCTTAACAAAAATTGGAAAGTTGAAAGAAAACACAAATATGAAAACTGGCCAGAAACGAACGAAAAAAAAGGTTTTTCAGTAAAACAGTATATGCGTTTTTCGAATACATGGTCTCAGCTGGATAGCGTAAGAATGAAAAGCTTCGGAGTTGAAAAATTCAGTGTTGCTACGAAAGAACAGGTTTGTGTTGACTGGCTATCGCGAATGTGTTTTGATTCAATCAACGCTTTTCTACTGACTGGACAGTGAAGATGCGGTTTTAAATGTTCTAATTCGTATTTCACGATAGTAATAGATTGGAAAATGGAGATTCTAAACACATTTTCTCAACTTTAGTTGCTGTTTATGAACTTTGCTGTTTAAAAAAGCAGTTTTTTTATGAATAAAATCGTAATATGCGATCGGCAAAGAAACCATTTTTAAGGCGTAAAAATATTGTATCAGTTGTGGTCAGTGGCCAGTGGTCATGAATGGAGAATGTTGGGAGAATATATACGAGAGAAGCGTGTAAACACGAGTGTAGCAGAATGTTTTACACGCTTCTTTTATAGGTAGCTTTTTCGGCGTGTATATGTAGCTGTACACGGTGCATGTCAAATCTTAGAGGTTGATGCAATTTCTTTTTTATTTTATTCTCTATTGAGTTCGAAAACTGTCCGGATAGGAAAAACTAAGAAAAACTGGACCAATCATATTCCTTTATACATAAAGGCCTAATTCCACGTCTAGCGACATCAGTGAACTCTCTATATATATATATATATATATATATATATATAGATATATATATATATAAAGAGAGAGTTCACTGAGCGACATGCGAAAAATATCGCGCGAAAAGATTGAACGCATGCGCAACATGATTTTGGAGTGTTTCTCTGCGAAATATTTCTCTTCGCCGGGTAGCTGAATTCGTTTCTATTCCGTTGTGAAATGGAAATTGCGAAGCCAATCAAATGCTTGTGTTTTGGATGACAAAATAGGGAAGCCAATCAAATGCTTGTGTTTTGGCGAAGTTTTTCTCTACTGTGGAAATCACTACGTGAGAAAATTTTCGCATAAGTGTGAAGTGGAATTTATAGGCCTTAACAAATACTTGTACACAACAATTTCCATTGTCCAGTTATACAGCAAAAATAAATGGTGTGTTTGCTTTCTTTCGATGTTTACGACGTCGCTTATACGCGATAAATACTACTTATTGAATATCAACTATTTGTACGCGTTTTTACAACCTCCCAGTCTATTTTGTAACATACATATGCGATAATTATTTTATGCCATCTTACTTTGTAGAATTGTATCCTGTTGAAGTTCTTTGAACTTTTCTTGCAAAGCGTTCCTATCAGCCAGCATATTTCTTCTTGTCTTGTCCGCCCTTTTCCTTAGATCTGCTAAATATTCATCCGTTAAGTCTCCTCGTTTACCCTCCTTTATAAATCCATCAAGCATTCTGAAAAGTTTATTTAACTTTCGCTCATATTCTAACAATTCTTGATACTGCTTTCGTGCAGCAGGAAGATCATTTGGTATTTTTGAAATTGAATTTTCCATATCTCTCTCTTATTCGCAATGTACTGTGCAGCGACAGTTGCAATTATGACGGATTTAATTAACTCTCCGCTTTTATAGCCGCGCGCGTGAGGAATTCTGGTTACTTAATTAAAGTATTATTGCGTCATCAAATTCGCAGGATTTTGCGAGCACGAGCCACTGAACTGAAACTGAAACTGGATTGAGTACTTGTAGTTGAGTACTGTAAACGGAAGTCAAACATGGTTGATGATTTTTTACGAGGTGTAAAATGACGGGTTTTTGTGTTGTGAAAAGTGATTTATATCATGCCTGGCCGTGAGCCGGACGAGTAATGCATGAGAAATGCGGCAGGCATTAATATGGCATGTGGATTACAGTCTTCTTTAACTGAATCATCATGATTCTCATTTATGAATTCAATAAGGCAACACATGACTGATTCACTAACCAAAGTTTTTAACCCAATGCACTTAATTATTTAGCCATGGCAAAAAATCGAAGATTATATATAGAGTGACGAAATGCTTTTCCAGCAGACAATTTTGCGAAATATCAGAAAACATACTGCGAAAATTAATATCTTCAGTTGGAAACTCAATATACGAGTTATTAAAGAAAAAGACACAACCTTAAAACTTTGTTCATGCGAACAAATATATATTCCACGAAAATCAAGTATTAATGTGTATATTCATCATTCAGACCGTAGTGGAAGAACATTAAAAAAGATTGCGTTATCACCTGCACAATTAAATTCAGTGTGTTTCAGACAATCTTGGACAAAACCTTTGAGACAATTCCAGTTAATATTACAAAGTTATTGAACATTGACAAAACAAACTTTGTCTCCCCCTCCCCTCCCAGTTCAATGTTGTGAACAACGCCGAAACAACTTTTGGTAATATACCATGATACAAGCTCAACATTGAGTTGGGGGTGCGGGGACTTAAGAAGGGCAACATGATTCAACATGGGGTTTGTTTAAAAAAATATGCGAATTTCGTATAGGGGGAAAAATAGTCTCAACCAGTTAGAATTCAGATATTAAAAGGTCGGAACACTCATTCTAATTATTTAAAAATTAGAAATGGAATAAACGGGTTGGGATAAAACACGGATACGGATGGCACAGATACGGGGATAAAGCGCGGATGGGAGGATAAAACACCGATGAGGGACAAAACACGGATGGGGGATAAATTCGTACCTGTGCGCGCATTCAATAAGTACGAAATTTTTGAGTGCCTGTTGAACTGAGGAAGATGAGGCAAGGATTCTTGTTTATTTACTTTATACGTTTGAGAATACAAAATTTACTGAGGAAGCTCGAGGGCAAGACACTCAACACATATTAGTTGCTTGCACTTGGAGTACGATAGAACATTTTGCGTGCATGTCTGATTAACACCCAATGTTTATGCGGTATATATATAAAGAAAGCACTATTTAGTTCTAAGTAAACTGATTCTCATATTTCAAAAGGGTGTAGATAAAAGGCGGACGGGGGACGACGGAGTATTTTATAAACACATGATTACTACCGCAACTAATTATATATATAATACCCTAAACTAAAGTATACCTGCCTTAGATCTGTGAAATGAATATGTTTTCACCCGTTCGAATTCTTAGCAATGGAATTTTTTAATCAGCATTCAATACGTATCTATGATAGGCTATACGTCGTCTTTCTCTGGAAACGTTTGGAAATATTGTAAAAAAGCGCCTTAATTTTGTTGCTTCTGTTAGGCAGAATTAAATGACATGCACTTGCTGACATTTTCGTACTTTAAGTAGTGCTGACTTGTTGTTTTGTATTGAAAATAATCCCCGTTTTACTTATAAACTAACCTGAAGTTATAACCTAAGAGGTTCACACCGCGTAGATATGGCCGATTGGCATGCGACGAATTACTATTCGTCGCGTGTAAGCATTCACATGAATGGACCTTGGCTACGTGTTAGCTTTTTAGTAAGTAAAACGGGGATTATTTTCATTATAAAAAACAAGTCAGCATGATTTAGAGTATGAAAATGACAGCAAGTGAATGTCATGTAATAGCCCCGCTTAATAATATTTTAATTCAGTGGCAGTGTTAAGGCGGATTTCCAGTCCTCGCACGAAGCTGCTCGCAGTTCGCTGCGAGTGATCCATGAGCACTTTCATCCAATCACAATGCAAGCACTCGCAGCGAGCGAGTAATTAGTTGCGGTAGTAATCATGTGTTTATAAAATGCTCCGCCGTCCGTTGTCCGCCTTTTATCTTCACCCTATTTCGAAATCGTAAAAAAATGAAAGACCGACAGATTGTTCATACATATAACTGAAACTTCATCGTTAAAAATAGACGAGCCGTAGATAACAAACATTATAAATATGTCAAATGTCTTATAAATATAAAATACCGTGATAAATGTAAATATTAAGCATTAGGTTCTCATTACTCGGCATACCATCTATATATATTGTATAGAATATCCACGATGATGTTTCAAGAATATTCAGCTGGTTTAGGAATTTATAATATAACATACAAAATATGATCAAGGAATGTATAGCATGAGTCGTAAACTGTTCATATAATGCGTTATATAGAGTTGTTTCTATTGCATCCATAAATTCTCAGGATGGTCATATAACGAAATTAGACAAACTGGTTCCCACCTGACTTTTTGAGCCAGTTTTCCACTTGCGAATTTTTTCGCCCAAAGAGAATTGTCTTTATCCAATTTAGTTCCCAATGGTTCCAGCTGAGAGACCAAAGACAAACGGGAAAATTCGCTTCGCGCGAACAAGACTCTTTTACATCTGATCACTCATAAGGATTTATTCGCAATCTAGTCGAACCAGATGGGAACCAAGCCTGGCTAAATGACAAAATTTGACCATGTAATATACAAGTGAAATAAATTCATTTTGACAAACAAATTTGGTCGCAACACAACAAACTACTAAAACGGATCTTATAACAAACAACAACAACCGAAAGCAGTTTTTCTTTCTCGCTATGCACACGCAAATGGTTGTTATTGCATGTAATATTGATAATTCAAACTAATAATTAGTATAAACAAGTGATGAAGTTGAAAACCGTTTGTTGTTGAGACGCGCTGCAGAGAATTTCAGTTACAGACTACTCTCAATGTTATATAAAACTGTTTCACTCCCTGAGGTAGTTCTAGATGCAGAAGATACTTCGTCACTGAAATTCCGTATTTGGATAAGATCAAGGCTTCTTCTCCGTTTCATTTTATAATGTTACAAAACCACAATAATGTAAGCTATCCCAGGGAGAGGGTGGCGACCAGGATCATAGGTATTATAAAGGCAAGTGTTTTCTGTTTTTCTACACTGGGGGCGATAGACAAAGATGTGGGAACCAGAGAAGCTGATGAAGAAACGTAAAATTGCAGTCCAGCTGTAGAGAGAGATGTGTCTACGGTAGTGGTTTACGATTTGAATTTGAATTTATTGAAATTTTCAAATGGCAGGTTGCTATCAATGATTGGCAATCTGAAAAACTTGAAATTACATAATACTATATGATTAAAAATACGTAATTTGGAATACAACTATTTAAAAAATATGCTCGATGATAATACTTTACTATATACTATACTATCTTCACGCATGTAAGTTTACTAACTACCCAGAGAATCCCACTTTGCAACACAGTACGGAATAAAACTATTTCTAAAACGTTTAGTCCTACATTTAAATAGAGGATATTTCCTTGGATTCCTTAAACTATACTTATGTGTAATAGGACTTGGGAGAAGATTGTTTAGTTTATTGTCATCTTTTAAAATAGATTGATACAAGGACAGACACTGAATTTCTCTTCGTTCTTGAAGTGTTTTTAGTTTTGCTTTATCAAGGGCATCAGCGTATGAATGGTGTGGGAACACAATCTTTAAAGCTCGTTTTTGGATGTGTTCGATTTGATCTGATAACATCACTGGCAGAGAAGAGTGCCAAACTTGACATGCATACTCAAGCACTGGACGAATGAATGAACAGAAGATGGAGATTAGATTCTTTACTGGAACACCATGGCGTTTCAGGATTCGTAGGGCATATAGTCGCTTGCTTGCTTTAGCAGATATGTTTGAAACGTGAATGTTCCAGGACAGATCGCTGCTTAGAGTGATACCCAGGAGTTTGAAACTATCAACAACTTCAAGCGGACTACCGTTTATTGTCAGATGATCAAATTCAGGTTCAGATTGTAAAAAGAATACACGGAATTCTTTGGTTTTCTTGGCATTCAACCGCATATTGTTAGTATTGCTCCAATCACAGATTGTACTAATATCTAGTTGAAGGATAGAATTACAAGCTGGCCGGGAAACCACTTCATATGTACTGCAATCATCAACGAACTTATACAATGGGTGTGTGGTGGTGGTAGTGGTGAGGTCGTTGATCATCACTAGGAAAAACAGGGGACCAAGGATAGTTCATTGAGGTACGCCGGCCTTAATCTGTTTCCAATTAGATCTTATTTCTCCAAGTTTTACACGAAGTTGACGATCTTGCAAAAAATTGGCACACCAATTTATCAATATGGGGGGCACATCTAAATTTGTTAGTTTCATTAGGAGAATGTTATGATCAATACGATCGAACGCTTTTGAGAAATCAATCATACATGATCTAATTAGGTTTTCAGGTTTGTCAGTTTCAACCAACCAATGGTGAATGAGATGAATGAGCTGGTGAGTTGTCGAACAGTTCTTTATGTTTCCATATTGATATGGAACGATGTGCGGATGAATAGAGGAAAGGAGCCAAAGATAAATAAAACGTTCCAGTATTTTACTAAGGACAGATGTAAGAGAAATTGGTCGTAAGTCATCATCTGCAGATTTGGGATTAGGTACTTTAGAGATTGGTATGACGTCCGCACATTTCCAGGTGTTAGGGAAAGCACCTTGAGCAATGGAAGAATTGAATATAGAACAAATAGGACTGCTAAGAAAAGATACGCAAAACTTAAGGAGCCAGTTTGGTATTGCATCCGGACCAACAGATTTATGTACTTTTATATTGGACAATTCGTACTCGACTTGTTGTGGTGAGAGAATGAACTCATTAGGAATTGTAGTAATTGGTAACTTTGTAAAACTCAGTGCTGGAATATCATCTGATACTTTGCTGAAAGATTCAGCTATTAAATCTGCTAAATCTGCACCTCGCTTGAATTCACCATCATGATACAGGCAGGAGGGTAAGGATGGCTTTGCAAATCCAGACAAAGCTTTGATGTTTTTCCACCACTTCTTAGGGTTGCTGTCCTTAGTATTTAATATCTTTGAGTTAAAATATGTGCGTCTAGCTTACCTGCATAATTTAGTAGTTTTGTTGCGGTAGAAGGAGTATGCCGAGGGATGGCCAGTTAACCATGCTCGTTGTCGTTTGGCGATAAGCTTTTTAATGTTAGTATTTATCCATGGTTTATCAGATGGGTGGAGCTTAATGCTCTGCATGCCTCCGGTTATTGGCGAGTTTGTGCTAGTCATGTTAAAAGAATAACAGTCACTGATGACGTGCAGTGCTCGTGTGCTAATGCTTTTGACTACTCCGCAGTTGATGGGGTTTTCACGAAGATCCATGTGGCGTATATTTGGGAAATCCTGTGTCAACATCGTTATATTTATGCAACTGATACTGTTTTTCTTTAAATCCAATACAGTTACCCAAATCTTTGGCTTGTCAGGTTGTGGAACTCTCACCATGTTCTGCCTAGAACAGTCTAGTACTAGTAGACTAATTAATTCTACTTCAATGCATGCACACTGAAATGTTTTGCAAGCGGCAGCCAAAACCACAGCTAAAACGATGAAAAGCAAAGTTGACATTTTTAATAGATCTACTGATCTGATCTAAATTCTAAAAATACGAGTGATACACAGGTGGCCCAGGCACTTGTGCATGGGTATTTATCAGACGGTATTTATTTTAAGAAACTAAGTAAGTTATATAAAGTATAACTTACTTAGCTTCCTTTATGTATTATGTGTGATTTGGGGGTGGTTTTAGTTTGATATTTAACAAATATAAAACATTTCCCGTGTTGATATACAGTTTATATATCAACACATGTGGAAATTGGGAAAACGAGAAATTGTGTGGAAACACGACGCTCGAAGGGCGGAGTTCTTTTGATATAAATACGGAAACCTTATTTTGAAGCAGCTCGATCTCTTCCGAAAATTAAGGCTATGTCTTAATATATTGTAAAAAGCGTTCAAATTAAGACATTGCCTTAATTTTAAACATAACCCCCACCCAAACCCCCACCCTAACCTCTAACCCCTAACCCCCCTAACCCCTAACCGCTAATCCTAATCTAATCTTAGTCTAACCCTAATCTAATCCAAATCTGGCGACCTTTTTTTTTACAACAAAATTTACGACAGCAGGACAGAATTTGGGGCTACACAATAAAATTTACAGCAGAACGAAATTTAGAGCAACACATGTACAAAAGAACTTGAGACAACATACTTATTCGTCCGCCCTAAAATTCGCCCTTTCCGCCGACCCACAAATTTTAGGGCGGCGAATAAGTAGGTATGACAGGTCTATTCTGTATTCTGGAGGGGGGATGACCGGAAGTATAGCGCTGTTTGTCCTTTAATGGTTTATGATAATTATGAAAATTCATATGTTTTCCCGTACAAAAAAAAACATGGCCTCCGTCACCGACAACGTTAGAAATGATATTGTTGATATTCAACGGCGTTTGGAAAGCGAAACAACCATGCAAACGGCTTGGATCATATTACTACCTCCTCCACAGGCCGTACAGTCGGTAATGAGTATGCCCGTTCGCAGGTTAAAATTTATAATTTGGGACGAAGGCTTGTGTAGCTGCAAGCATCTGCCTCATCCCCCTCTCCTCCGCAGAGGCTTTTTAAAATGTTAATATAAAAAAAAACACCGCTGACCCGTTGGGAGAGGAACGCAGACGCGAAACAAAAACGTTTGGGGTTTCATTTTACTTTGCGCCTATGTTCCTCTCTTCCTTATATTCAGCGGAAGTTACCCACTCTTCCCTTTACAACTTCATGTTAGGAACACATAATATAGTTAGAAACACATGATGGTTAATGTCGGAAACCTCTGCGGGGGAGAGGGCGAGAGGCCTTGTCCCCAGGGTTAGCACTATTTTCCATCCAGCAAACCGCCCTATCGATGTTCTAAATTCGTTTGTTTTTGGATTTTTTTATTAATTCGGTTAGTGTTAGAGTTAGGGTTGCGGTTAGGTTAGGAGGTAGAATATGGGTAGGGTTTGGGTTAGTTACATAGCCATTTAACACTTCTTCCATCTTCCGAAAATGACGTCAGGTCAGTTTGCTGGATGGAAAATAGTGCTAACCCTCTCAAATCTCAAGACCTTTAAAAACCTAAAAACCAGGGCCGTAGCTAGACACGATGATTGGGGGGGGGGGGGGAAATGGTCCATTGTCTTTTTCTCTTTCTAGAGATCGTTTTTGGCCGTATTAATCTAGTGTGACGTATTGATGGTCTAAATCATTAGTCAGAAACACATTTAATCTTTCTTAATACTTAATTCTTCAATAAATAGATATGATTGATTCTCATCGCTGAATACATACAACAACATTAATTATGCATATATTAATAATATGTACACATATACGGTATAATAAATATTTAAATACCATGCAGTACGTTCGGTCTATTTTATATAAATATCTAATTTACACTGGCTAGACATTTCTTGCACAATAGTTTATAAAGTTGTTATGCTTTCACGTTACATCACTTTCGTTGTCTTTGCTTGCGAAAGCAGCAAGTGAACAGTGCAACAATTCGTCTACAAATCGATCGCTTTTTCATTTTCTTGCTTCCCGACATGTTGCTTTCCGTTTCACTACAACCTAAGATAAAGAATTGAAAACAATCGTAAAGTCGATCATTCAAATTCATGCAATATTTTGTTTTGACAACTAGACAATGCTTGACGTTTTTCACAAATGACAGCGTATTAGGATTTGGTTAATTTGGTTACTGATAACAGGTGGTACAACACAACACAACACAACACAACACAACACAACACAACACAACACAACACAACACACTTATAAACGTCGCTAACACCAAGAGTTACCAACAGATGCATTTCCAATATAATGCATTATCAACACCAATCCATCCCACCGGATTGTTCCAAGTCCATGACTAAGCATGTTAACCATTCAGCTTCGTGAGGATCAAACAAGGATTGCGGTTAATGAGAGTTGGCAATCACGCTTTCTTACGAGGGGCATTCCTAGCTCTAGATTAATTAACAAAATAAAGTTTTGTTTGCTGTTCCAACTATGTTTTAACTTATGTGGAATAATACATGATAGTGTTAAATTA